TTAAGAAATGTCACTTTGAACTAAAAAAAACCTTCCCAGCATAACATTTTCTCAAAACAGGAACATCCATGCAACCCATTGAAGCAAGGTGACTTGAATTCACAAACACACACACACACACACACACACACACACACACACACACACACACACACACACACAAAATTGCAGAGGAGAAAACTCCAAGGGTTCATAACCCATATACCCTGAGACTGTATTACAAACATAGTATGAAGTCTAAGATACAGAATGGGGACAGTGCCAGATCACTAATTTCATCTGATAATAGAGTCAAAGAAGGTAAAGTTTTGCACCAGCTCTGATGAAGGTAATACACAGCATAAATGTTTCCCATAGCTAACATTAAACATTAGAACATGTAGAATGGTGGCTGGAAAGATGGCTTAGCAGTTAAGAGCACTTGTTGCTCTTGTAGAGGACCTGGGTTCAATTCCCACCAACTATATGGTAGCTTAACTGCCCAGGCACTCAGGTGGTATACATTCATACACATAAAATAAATCTATGAATTAGGTTCTTTCAATCTACCTTTGAATGGGTCCCAAGGATCAAACTTGGTAACCAGGCCTGTGAAATAAGTGCCTTTACCAATGAGCCATCTTACCAGCCCAATTTCCAGTTTTCTTTCTTTAAATTTACCTTAATTATTGATAAAAGTTGTTTGGATCCTGGAACTTCCGGCTGTAAATTTGTTTCAATTTTTTTTCTCCGTGGCTGTAAGTAAATAAATCTATTTTAGGCTTTCAAAATAATGCAAAAGACACATAAGACACTTAGAGGACTATAAAACAGATTAGCATACTTGGTATGATCATATAGTTAAAAATACATATATTAAGGGTTTATTACGAAAAATTTAGTTTAAATTTTTGACACGTCTCTCTATGTAGTCCTGGGTGTCCTGAAACTCACTCTGTAGACCAGGCTGGCCTCAAAATCCAAGAGACCTGCCTGCCTCTGCCTCCTGAGTACTGGGACCTAAACTTGGGTCCTCTGCAAGAGCTGCAAGCATTCTTAACTACTTTAACCCTAATCACATTATTTTTAAAAAACAAGCTTTAATTATAAATAAAATGCTTTTATTACAACTTTGAAATGAAATGTATTAAGACTTTTTTTTTTTTTTTAACCTAGGCTGGCCTGAAACTCACTATATAGCCCAGACTATCCTCAAACTTCCAATCCTACCTCCTGGGCCTCCTAAGTGCTGAAATTAGAGGCATGAGCCACCACATCCAGCTTTGGTTTTAGTTTAGTTTTAATTAATTAATTAATTTATTTTTAACACTTAAAACCTCTATACTCAGGAGGGTATTACTGCTAATCGCAAACTGGCCTATTTTCCTATCTGGGACTTTAACACATACTGGAGCTGGAGAGATAGCTCAATATAACCATTGAGAACATTCACTGAACTTGCAGAGGACCTGAGTTTGGTTCCCAGCACCTACATTGCAGTTCAAAACCACTTATAACTCCAGTTCTAGGGGATCTGACTCTCTCCTCATCCTCAGCTGGCTCCTGCATGTATATAGAGCACATATACCCTGGCACATAAACATAAAATAAATACATATTTAAAAACAACTAGCTGGGTAGTGGTGCTGCATGCTGTTAATCCCAGCACTTGGGAGGCAGAGGCAGGTGGAGTTCAAGGCCAGCCTGGTCTACAAAGTGAGTTCCAGGACAACACAGAGAAACCCTGTCTTGAAAAACAAAAACAACCCCCACTGAAAACCAGTTAACAGCTAGATTTACAAGTATCACTTTAGATAAAGACTTTAAGCCTACAAGCCCTTTACTAAGAACAAGCTGTAAGAGGTACACAGGTATGAACGTTTCCTGTTTTTGTTTTGTTTTTTTCCCAAGACAGGGTTTCTCTGTGTAGTTTTGGTGCCTGTCCTGGATCTCGTTCTGTAGACCAGGCTGGCCTTAAACTCAGAGATCTGCCTGGTTCTACCTCCTGAATACTGGGATTAAAGGCATGTGTCACCGTCACCCAACTCCTTTTCCTGTGTGTGTGTGTTTTTTTTTTTTTTTACATTCCCAATGACATTGATCATTCAGCTACTGAACTTACAGTTTTTGACTGCTCTGCACTGTAGGACCCAAGTTCATATCCTGAACACGTTTCCCAGTTTACAAAATGGGGCATGGGATGAGTGCCTATGGAAACACAAAACATAAATTACTGAACTATTCTGACCTAACATCATCAAATTAAAGAACGACAACAAAAGAAAACCACTTATGCACAATTTAAGAGAGGTTTCAGCCAGGTGGTGATGGTGCATGCGCTTAATTCCAGCACTCAGGAGGTATTAGCAGGTGGATCTCTGAGTTCAAGGCCTGGCTAGTCCACAGAGTGAGTTCCAGGGCAGCCAGGACCACACAGAGAAACCCTGTATCGATAAACCAAAGAAAAGAAAAAGGAACCAGGAACTCATAAAATTATCTGTGTCTATAAAAAAGTAGAGTGTTCCAACCTGACTCTTGAGTAGGCTTGAGCTTTCCCAGAGCGCCTGCCAGAGATGACACTTCACACTTGTATGGAATCACAGTTAGACATTTTCCATGTAGCATAAATAGTATTTCCCCATGATACCAGAGCTGGAAAAAAAGTTTAAAAAGTAAGCATATATTTTTTTCTGAGATCTGACTCTAAAAACATGTAACTTATTTTATTAGCACGTATTCACTGTACCAAATGATGGATTTCATATATTTTCAACTACACTCAAAATCACTCACCTTTGACCCTAGTTTACTATCCCACCCCCTCCTGATGCTCAGTCTCTTCTTTCCATTCTCCCTGCTCCACTCTTACACACAGTGAAGTCTAGATTCAGCAATGAGAGAATTAGGATTTTTAAAAATTTCCATATACTTTTCCTATAAATGACATTCCACTCTTCTTTATGAACCAAGTTCCATAATGTAATATATAGCATACTGTCTTCATCCATTCAGCCACTGATGGACACACAGGATGACTTGTTGTTGTTTTGAGACAGGGTTTCTCTGTGTAGTCCTGGCTCCTGGAACTCACTCTGTAGACCAGGCTGGCCTCAAACTCACAGAGATCTGTCGTGTCTGACTCCTGAGTGCTGGGATTAAAGACGTGTGCCACCACTGCTGGCTAGGCTGATTCTTTAACTCAAGCTTATCATGTAACAGTAATGGTGCCCAACGTGCCTTATGTTCTCTTTGATATTCGTAACTGAAGAAAAACATTTGATTGCAAAAGCTGTTGAGTTATGCCAAAATGTATATTTTAAAGGTACCTTGACTTCAAAATTTGGATGTAAAGATATGTTGCTTTGGAAAGGAGGCTCTGTTTTTGTTTCCACAGAAAGCCAGAGGCTATGGATTTATTTCAGTTTAAGATACATCAGGTTTGCCCAGCCAAGACCCCCTGAAAGGTCTCCTATGACACCAAGGCCCAGATGATCCAACAACCAGAACCGTTTCAAGGCAACTGGCTCAGACGATACACCCTCATGGACTACTCCATAATCCTAAAATTTTCTTTGTGTCCCCATAACATACAGCGACCCCCTCCAGCAGGAAGTAGTAAGAGAAGCTACACCCAAATTCCCAAATATACCAAGCTGGCTTTGGAGATGTGTAAAAGTTAAAACCTTCCTCTTAAAAAAAAAAGGGGGCGGGGGGAGTGCTGTGGGATGGTCTGTATGTCAAATTGCTCTGATTGGTCAATAAATAAAACACTGATTGGCCAGTGGCCAGGCAGGAAGTATAGGCGGGACTAACAGAGAGGAGAATGGAGGGAACAGGAAGGTGGAGGAAGTTACTGCCAGCCGCCGCCATGACAAGGAGCATGTGAAGATGCCGGTAAGCCACGAGCCATGTGGCAAGGTGTATAGATTTATGGAAATGGATTAATTTAAGCTATAAGAACAGTTAGCAAGAAGCCTGCCACGGCCATACAGTTTGTAAAGCAATATAAGTCTCTGTGTTTACTTG